CGAGTTAAAACCAACAATAAATTTAAGAAATGTACAAATGATTAGGTTTCATCTAATTAGTATTTTTTTCAGTTTACTATTTAGATCTTTACTGACCGCGAGGCGCAGTTAGTATAAATCTAGCGGGGAACAAAGCGAGTCCCATTGGTGGTAGATAATGGAAAGCACATTGTAACGTAAGGAAGAGCAAAGAGTATGTTTATAGTGATTTTTATAAAGTGTTTATTAGGCCTAGTGTTCTATACCTCAATCTATCAAACTTCCGTTGGTCAAATATGAAGAAATCAAGTATTAAAAGTATTGCAAGTATAACAAGTAAGTAGGTAGAGATTAATTTACCTGAACCAAAACTGGTTATACAAATATTATTGGGTTCCATCTAAATAATAATTGTTTTTACTGTTAACGGTTAAGCTTGGATACAGATTGTTTTGGTAGTAAACTAAAAAGTACAAGGCCATAGCATTTGTATAAAACCTTTGAGAACTTAGCGATGTCGGTGCCTATGACGCGACGCATCGACGGGCGGTGCTGTGCTGCGCGGAAGCCTGCACCCGGTGTCTTTGCCGACAATGCCGACGCCCCACACTACATCAGTTTTTTTCAGATGACTAATCAAATATATATTTATTAACCTTAAGAAACATACTAAAGTTTTTGTTTGAAACATTTTGCGTATTTTATTTGGGAAAAAATATATAGAGGGTAAAACAAAATTGTGTACTCTTAAACATAAACATTGTAAAAAAAGTTTAAATGTTATATCTCTGTGGATATAGTTTTATAAGAAAATCTTTAGTACAACAGTTGTAGATAAACTAATTATAAAAAATACAAACCAAATTTCACTACGATGGCATGCGTAGAATTTGAATTATATCCAGTACAGTGAGCGACTGTAATTTCCAGGTTTTGAGGGGGTTTTGGGGGGGGGGGTTGGGGTGGGGAGAATCGGGAACTTTTAGAAAATACACGTCTTAAGTGGTTCCATCACATATAACAATCTCAGCTTTCCACTATTTAACAACGAAAAAGGCAGTTGGTGCGTTTATTGGCTGGGCTAGATGCGATGACGCAGCGCAGAGGTGTTCAACTAGCGCGCACACGCTCACTTTGCCGACGCTCAGCTCTTCACCCGGTCACCTAGATGACTAACCAATAATATATTTGTAAACCTTGAAAAACGTACTAAAACTTTTGTTTGAACCATATTTGCGTATTATTTATATTTAAAAGTATACATAGAGAAAAACAAGATTTTGCACTCTGAAACAAAGCTTTTAACGAAGTTTAAATTTTATATCTCCCTAAGTATTGGTTTTAGAAAAATATTATAAATACAAAAGTTGTAGTAAAACTAATCAGAAATAAAATAAAACAAATTGCAGCTCGATAGCTTACGTAACATTCGAATTATGATCAATTAAGTAAATCACTGCAATTTCTATGTTTGGAGGGGGGTGGGGGGGAAAGCTCAAGGGGTAGAAGTGGGGACTTTTGGGAAAATACACCTCTCATGTGGTTCTATCACATATAAAAAATCCAGCTTTTCACCATTTAGTTGCGAAAAAGGCTGTTTTATTGCATTCATTGACTGGGCTATTACTTGCAGTGGATAATAAATGAAATTGTTTTGCATAAATTATTGTCTCATAAATATACAAACTGTAAACTGTTAATACACCCAATTCAGGAAAGATATTTTTAACTGAATCTGTTCTTTTTAATTTCATGATCACTCTAATAGCTTTTTCTTGTTTTATAAGTATTTTATCCAAATTTGCCTTAGTTGTTGCAGATTATCCTAAGAGTTTCCAAGTTGCAAACCTTGGACATCAGCCGCAAGGCATGAATGCCAGATGATAATTTATTTACTACATAGTTTATGTGATAATCCCAAGATAGATTTTCATCAATAACCAGTCCCAGAAACTTTGTTTGGTTTACCTGATCAATTTTGTCTGTTTTTATAAAAATATTAGGTTCAAATGCTGTTATTGATTGTTTAGTTGAAAAGGATATTAGATTTGATTTTGTTGTGCTGATAAGCAGATTTCTTTCATCCAAAAACTTTTTTATAGAGAGGAGACTCCTGTTTGAGGATTTTTCAATAATTAAATTGGATTTTCCTAAAAACAAAACATTAGAGTCATCAGCATACAGACACATAGATCCATCACTGACCGGGATCATCTCTGGTAACCCCTTAACACGTTCGCTGCTGACAGCTAGATGCCGGGACGGCGCCAGGAGCTGAACTAACGCTTGTCGCTGCATAAACATTGCTGCCGACACACTGATTTACAGTAAAAACAACAGTAGTTATACTGGATGGCAATGTTCTGCAATAAAACTGGCTTTGGACATAGTACCAAGCGATTCTGATAGATAGTAGCGTTACCCAGGTTGCAGTCGGTAAAGTAGTGTCGCTATCTAGCAGAAAAGAGGTGGGGACAAAGCCCTGTTCTAAACGACCCTGGTGGGGATTTTGGGAAACTATACTTTTTATTGTCAGAAAAGTACGTCCCCACGAGCTGCAAAGAAATATAGGACGCTCGTGACAAGCTGGCTGATCCATGGAAACGTTAAACAACAATGACACAGCGTTGTATATGTACAACGCTAGCTCCTGGCGCCGGGTAGGCACGTTGTAAAAATACAACGCCAGCAGCGAACGTGTTAATGTAACAGAGGAACAAAAGAGGCCCCAAGATTGATCCCTGATTGATCAAGATTGATCCAAGATTGATCATCCACTTCATGTGAAATATAGGGGTCAGTAGATTGCCAAGACACAAATTGGAAAAGTGGAAACTAAACTATTAAAAATGTTATTGAAATAGTAAACTATTCAAAACTAATAGGCATTGGCCTGCTCAAAACTATCTTTTTCTATAAACATACAATTAATCTGTAAATTTACAATTTAAATCATGGCAAGAACTGCATTTTTTTTAATAACTCACAGTTCTGAAGACTGCAGTACCGTTGAAGTAGGCCTAAACCCATTTGAACCACGAACACCCACTTCATAATAACATTTTCACACCATCATCACGCCTTTAAATTTAAATGACCACTATAACCGACAAAATGTAGTATGGCTACTTAATATTAATATTAATATTAAATCTGTATTAATATCACAAAACTGAATAAAAGTGTTCACTTATTAGTTCATAATATATTTCATACAACTACAACCCGTTTGCCGGTTGGTGTACAACATACAAGGGCGGCAGGAAGCGGGATGTAAACAAAGCTACACTAGCGCTCAGCACTCCCAGCGATAATATTGAGAATCAACAACCAGTGGGCCAGCTCAAATCGGCCTTCTGCTCCATATGCCAATGCATTGTTCCCTGATAGTCAAGCGCCGCCAGCTGGCGTTGCCTTGTCCATTACTTTCTTATGGTGGCTTGAAGGGCCCGAAATCCGTGGCCCTCCAATGTGTTACGAGATGATTGCATTGTATTTCAACAAAAGTTATGACCCGTTGAAAGTTCAAAATTAATATACATCACAGTTTATTGAATAATATCAACCAAATAACCTATTAAGAATTTAAAAATATACTTTAGTGTTCATTTTGGGTGGGCCCGGCCCACTTGGCCCTTATGGAAGTGCCGCCCTGAGCATTGTTTAAATGGAAAAAAGTGGTCATGCATTTGGAAAAGAAGAAATTTCTCTGTTATTATTTATCCAATCTTAACAAATAACGTATCTTTGAAAACTACATAAAATTTACTAACTTTTTTGTCTCTTGCAATTTTGTTTGTAAAGTTAACGGTTTTCGTGAAATTTGGCATCAAATATTTTAAATGGCTGCCATTTTGAAATGGTTAGTGATTTTTTTTTAAATATCAATGCTGTATCTTAAACCGTTTAGGAGTTATTAATTTTTATGTAAAAAACACATAAATACAGACAGACGGAAAACTAGGCACCACAGACCCATGTTCCTATGGTGAAATGTGTTTGTCTTGACCCAAGCAATAATGCTATATACATGTGTCCAGAGAGTTACGGGACAACCTGTATAAGACCCATACAGCTAGAAAATGGCTAGACTGTTTTCCTTCTTAGGCTTATTACTGTATTCTATTTTCGACATAGAGTCAATATATTACACAATCAATTTGTTTTCTAAATTGATATGTTATTTTGCGGCGCATTGAGCCATTGAGCCGAATGGGTTCACTAGTATTCTATAACCGTAAGTTATGAAAATAAGGTTATTGATATATTTTCATGTAAACAGTAGGACAATCACAATGTAGGTTATATTTTTTTGTATAAATTTGATGGCTTTTTGTTTGTATATAAATTCAAACTACTTAACAAGTGTTTGGATTAAGCAGTATCGTACATCTTTCTGTTGCGAAGCATGGGTACAGCAGCCAGTTTCAGAATAAAGGAAATTAAAGAGTTTCATTCGTGGCAAAAAGAGGTTTCAGTGTTTCTGTAGGTATAATACTAACTGTCTTCAAAAGTCTTCCCATTGACATATGGGTAGGTGATTTTAGATTAAGTTTAAGAGTGTTGTTGTAGTCAATTATGGCTAAATTCAAATCTCCTTTGGTGTCTGTCTTAAGTTTTTATCAACATTAATTTTAGCGTTTGTCAATGTAGCCCTTTCCATCATAACATTAGATCTGGAATAGTTGGGTGATGAAGTTACATGCCCCATCTGATAACGTTCTGTGAACAATACAAATTTGTGGCTATCAAATGGAGGACCATTATCTAAGTGAATTTTCTTTGGCATGCCGTGTGATTTAAATATTTGTAGTAAGCTTGCAGTAATTGTATCAGCATTGGTGGGATTCATTTTTCTAATTCAAACAAACTTATATTGGTAAAGATCACATTAAATAGGTTACACCTTATTTTTTACAAATTGAGCACTGTTTATAATCATTATAACTTGTGACTCTTTAGTGTACTGTCATAAATGTTGTATATTTTTTCCAGTCATAAATGTTGTATATTTTTTCCAGTCTTAAGCCAAATGGAAGTTCCTTGTCTTCACTGGGAGGACTGCCGCCCCTTGGTCTCCCACAAAATAACCAAAACAATAAATTCAGCATCAACAAAAGTGCCAAACCAGTAACACACGATATCAAAGCCCTTTTAGAGTTGGGATCTGGTAAGTCTGCATAAAGAAATATTTCTGACAATTTCTTGTAAATATAGACAGGATTTACCATAAGTACACAACATTAGGAATAGGTTTTATGGGTCTTATTCAAAAATAAAATCTATAATATAACTTAATAACATTTTGTTACAAAAACACCTTTTTTACCCAGTAATCTGTTGTATTTTTATTATAAATTTATACTTTAATTTTCAAACTGAAATTTAAAAAAAATCATCTAAACCTACCAAAGTACTACAAGTTCAGAGGGATAAAATGATTAATAGCTAAAAAGTCACAATTTTTAGTTGTACAGGCCAGGCGCACCCTGACAACTTGGTCTCCTTGGGCCTGGCCTGAAAAATATTATTTTAAAACTATTTACTATTCTATTTTTCTGAACTTGATTCTGCTTGATAGGGAACAACAAATTTCAAATAACACTTTTTTGATTTTTCCCCCTTGAAATTAATTGTTTTAGGGAATTTCCCATATAGGGAAAATGCTATTACTGTAGGTCTCATGGTAAGACCTGGACCAGGGACCGATTTAGATTTACTTTTTTGTTTTGAGGTCCCCAGAGGCCAAAAACACCATCCGTTCAAATTCATATATATTATATATATGTCCGTTAGCACGATAATTCGAACAAAAATCATCCAATTTTGATGAAATTTGGTATAAACCTACATTTATTCGAACGAGCTCGTGGAACCAGGTTGATCGAACCATGAGAATGAGGGTTTATAGGGGTTTTATGGGATAAAAATGAGGTTTTCCCATTTTTTACCCTAAAAACATAAAATTTTGGAATTTCTTTCCCAACCATTTTGTAGAGCTTAAAAAAAATAATTTAGTATATTGTAGCATTGTTGTAGGCTGAATGGTTACGGAGAAAATTCAAAAAAATTTAAATTTAAAATTCCAATCTTATTCTTATGGAGAAAATGAAAACTGTTGTAGTGTACTTTTTTATGGATATATATATTGATCAAACTTGGCAAATTTATTTATTTTGTCCTATATTATTGACGTTTGGTCAAAAAACACTGTTCACCTTCACCGTAGCAGCAAACCTAAGCACTCGTTAAATCTAATCCTATACTCTAATATGAGCAATGTTTGCTTGTATATATGTATGTATGTTTGCACAATGATCTCAAAAACGGCTTCGACGATTTTCTTCAAATGTTGTCTGGCCTAAAAACGAGTTTACTGCAGTTAGAACTGCCAGCAAAAATCTAATTATTGTACTTAGAAAAATGAAACTGAAAGTCACATTTTTTTAACATTAGTCTTATGGGTTGCTAAGTAAGCATGTTGGTTGAATTAGGTATTTACTCAAGGGAGGTACAAAAGAGCCTTCGATGACGTCAGCTGTCACATCTCCTCTTGAGGGAACACCATTACCGCAACGATACAGAATTCAATCATCGGCCTCGGTGGTGAAGTGGATAGCGTGTTGGGCTGATACTCCCAAGGTGCCGGGTTCGAATCCCGCTGGCAGCACTAACTTTTTGTCAACAATTTTTTTTCATATCAGGGGAAGTTTGGTTGGTTTGGTTAGGTTATGACAATTTAATTTTATAATTAAAAAATTATAAAATTTAATTTTAGGCATTTATAATTTTATTTTATGAACAAAACTATTTTTTAAATTAGTAAACCTTCAGTTGATTTTTTTCATTATCAGCACGTTTGGTTAGGTTATGACAGTTTAATTTAATAATTAAAACATTTTAAGATGAATTTTAGAATTTTTCTTAATTTTATAATTAACTAGGCCTAATAGTGAAGTAAAAATTACACGCTGTGCTCTCTACTTCAATGCTGTTAACGGAGGAATTTTGAGCTAAACTATGATGTCATCGTTGCCTCATTTGTACCTCCCTTAGTCAGACCCGTTGAATTAAATAACAAGGAAAAAGGTTTTTTTTTACAGAATTTATTTTATCAACACTTGGTCCAACATTTATTGCGGGTGGGGACTATAATGCTAAACACACACACTAGGGCTCGAGACTAGTAACTCCAAGAGGTAAAACTCTTTACAGAGCTAAAACAGAAATGAATTTGGATTGTGTATCTTCAGGTTTACCTACTTACTGGCCAACTGACTGAAATAAAATACCGGACCTACTGGAATTTGTTGTAGTTAAAGGTACACAATTGAATTACACGAATATCGAATCATCCCTTGATCTTTCTGCAGACCACTCCACTGTAATCATAACTTACAGCACTAGTATATGCTTGAAGGAAAAATCCCCGTCGTTGTGGAATAAGAATACAAACTGGGATTACTTTAGGACCCTTGTAAATAACAGTATTGATCTTAAAATCCCGTTACGGAATGAACATGATGTTGAAGAATCAATAAATGACTTTAACACTACCATACAGAAATCAGCCTGGGAAGCAACACCAAAATCTAAAATCTGTGTCTCAAAATCAAATAATTACTTAATCTATAATATTAAAACGAAACAGTGTTTTTTTATTTCACGATTTTGAATCAACCATTCGACGGATTTTCATGATTTTTGTGTTGAAAGAAAGATAATTTTGAGAACTAGGGAATGTCGAAGCCATAATTTTAGTTTAGGGCCCCAGTTTTTTAGAAATTCAGTTTTAATTTTGAAAAAGTCTAGCAGCCGACGCTAAGATTCTAAACTAGCTTTTGGCATAAAATAATTTGCTTAACATAACAGCTGTAAACATTCAGCTTTTGTGTCACAAATTCAGCATTTGGATAAAAATGTAAAGACATACTTAGGGTTGACTTATTTATACTATGTGTAATGCTAATCATTGATACGTTCAATTCTTCTGTAAGAGGATGACAGATTAATTAAATATACATAGTAAAATACTAGGATGTTCAAATTATTTTTTTAAAGCAATCTTTGTAATGTTCGATTTGTTTTAGAGCAATATAATTTGTTTTAACTAACAGCTGGTTAAATATAAACTATGGAACTATGAGGTTCTCTTATTTTGTCATTGATCATAGGAAATAAGTAAGATTAGTAGAGATAATTATACCACAGTTTTAACCAAAATTAATTAAACCACAGTACAAATCGAGGCTTTGTACACGAGTCTTAATAAAAAAAGGATAAATGCAAATTATTTTACTGCTACACTTTTCAAGGAAAGATTAGAAAAATAACAATGTTTACATGTTTTAATTCTTCATGGTAGCTTTTTGTTTACAATTAATGTTTGTCTGCTTTAACTTTGTTTGGATTAGGCCCGGAAATATTGATGTCATATAAAGAAGATAAAGCATAATCAGGAATCACGATTTTAAATTACCACCACAACCTCAGCCGGGTTTTATACAAAGATAAACAGATGGATGACATAGATTGAACACAACGTCAACATTGACCTAGGATACTGCAATTAGACAAACCATCCTTTTATGAAATCGTGTTCAGTTGTGGTTACGTTTGGGGGCGCCTATATCAGCGCCCCCAAACGTGAAAATATCCCTTTTATTTCAACTATGAATATATTGTAGTTTAAATGAACTAATATGGGAAATTACGATGTACATTTATTCAATGAGGGTGGGTAATTATCAAGGATAGAACTGATAACGGTATGGATAATAAACATTGACAATTACGTCATTAGCTTTACTAGCGTGTTTACTTTTTATATTCCTGCTACATGTGACCAGTTCTTTTTTTCAAATGAATGTTATTTGAACCAAACAGCTGTTTCAAAAGAAACTGTTATTGTTTTTGTTTTTCTTTGTTTACGCTTATTTATTTAGCAATTAATGCAGTGACATTGACATAAAGGATAGGTGTGACGATTAGTTTTGATGTTGGACACCAAAGTTAAATTATGTGTACTGTGAATTTTATTGGATACTATCGTTTTATTTTAGGTAGTTTCTATTCAGACCTACTGGAAATTGTGTATAGTAGTTGTAGTGATAATAATTATGGAAGAGGCAGGTATGCTATGGAAGGTGGTATCGTTGACTAGGTCTATACACTTCTCAATTGACTATTACCACAGACAATATAATACTTTACTCTCTCTACTGTAGGCTGCAAATCTCACTTCAACGCTTTTCACATCGTAGAAATTGCAGAATTGCTGTTTTATTGTAAAATTATCGGATTTAAAATGCATATCGTATAGGCCTATGATGGAATCAAAACATATTTGGTCACACAACATTTGTTTACAAGATGATTTTTCATATTAGAACTGCAAGAAACTTTGTCTTTATATGTATAAACTAGCTGATCTGAATTGTGCACGGTTTTAACTGACTACTGAATTCCCGTACGTAGGACGGGCTAACACCTCGTTTATATTGAGAAGAAAGTAGCAGAAAAACGTAGACTTCGGAGAATTTTGCAAAATTCACGTGACCCTCTTGACAAAACTCGTCTAAATCGTGCAGCTCAGAAATTAAAACGATGTTTAGTGGAACTGAAAAATACATGGTTTCACGATTTTACAAAAAATCTAACCCCAACTGAAGCAACCGAGTATTCTCTTTGGAAGTCTACTAAATATATTAAACGTCCAGTTTAACATGTACCTCCAATTCGGAAACTTGACCCCTGGGCTAAAACCCCTGAAGAAAAAGCTAAGGTTTTTGAAGATTACTTTTCTGAAGTATTTAAGCCTATTACTCCGAAACCCCCAATGACGAAAGTGAAATTTACGAATTTTTGGATGCACCAAATCAGTTGTCTCTGGCTATAAAATCTTGCACTCCTTCAGAGGTTTCAAGAATAATTTTTAAGGAAATTAACCCCGTGAAAAGTCCTGGGTACGATCTCATCACTGGACAAATTTTAAAAGGAATATGTAAACAAAAGACTTGTAAGTTGTAACATGTGTTTGTAATAGCCATCTAACCACAGTATACTAGCAAATTACAAAATACAGTACAAAAGGAAAAACATCAGTTGTTACTATTGAGCAACTGAAGATTACTCGATACATTGTAGCAAAGGCTAGCAGTGCGGAGTGTGGGATCTGTTTATGACGATTAGGTATTAAGGTATCTGCAATCCTAAAATGCTATGGGAAGGGAAGGAAACAGATCTGCGACACAGGAAGTGGTGAAGGAAGTAGTAAACACGAGCTGTCCGGAGTGTGGGAACTGTTTATGACGATTAGATTAAGGTATCTGTAATCCTAAAATACTATGGGAAGGGAGGAAAACATGTCCGCAACGTAGGAAGTGGTGAAGGAAGTAGTCAAGGCAAGCTGTCCGGAGTGTGGGAACTGTTTATTATGACGATTATATTAAGGTATCTGCAATCCTAAAATGCTATGGGAAGGGAGGGAAACAGGTCCTCAACGTAGGAAATGGTGAAGGAAGTAGTAAAGGCGAGCAGTCCGGAGTGTGGGAACTGTTAATGACGATTAGATTAAGGTGTCTGCAATCTTATAATGCAATGGGAAGGGAGGGAAACAGGTCCGCGACGTAGGAAAAGATGAAGGAAGAAGTAAAGGTGAGCAGTCCAGAGTGTGGGAGCTGTTTATGACGATTAGATTACGGTATCTGCAATCCTAAAATGCTATGGCAAGGGGGGAAAACAGGTCCAAGATGTAGGAGGTGGTGAAGGAAGTAGTTAAGGCGAGCTGTCCGGAGTGTGGGAACTGTTTATGACGATTAGATTAAGGTATCTGCAATCTTAAAATGCTATGAGAAGGGAGGGAAACAGGTCCGCGTCGTAGGAAGAGGTGAAGGAAGTAGTAAAGGCCAGCAGTGTGGAGTGTGGAAACTGGAAACCGTTTGTAGCAGTTTAGGTTAATGTATCTGAAATCCTAAAATGCTATGAGAAGGGAAGGAAACAGGCCCACAACGTAGGAAGTGGTGAAGGAATTAGTAAAGGCTGGCATCACAGAGTGGGGGGACTGTCTGTGGCAATTACATTAATGTATCTGCAATCCTAAAATGCTATGGGAAGGGAGGAAAACAGAGCTACGACGTAGGAAGTGGTGAAGAAAGTAGTAAAGGCGAGCAGTGTGGAGTGTGGGAACTGGAAACCGTTTGTAGCAGTTAGATTAATGTATCTGCAATCCTTAAATGCTATGAGAAGGGAAGGAAACAGGCCCACGACGTAGGAAGTGGTGAAGGAAGTAGTAAAGGCTGGCATCACAGAGTGGGGGGACTGTCTGTGGCAATTACATTAATGTATCTGCAATCCTAAAATGCTATGGGAAGTGAGGAAAACAGAGCCTCGACGTAGGAAGTGGTGAAGAAAGTAGTAAAGGCGAGCAGTGTGGAGTTTGGGAATTGATTAATGTATCGGCAATACTAAGACTGCTTTCAGAGTAAACTAACGATATTCCCCGAGCAAAGCTCGGTACCCAGATACTGTTAGTTAAATTGGGAATAAATATGTCTTATTTATGGAAATATTTTAGTAAATATGTAATCAGACAAGTTGAAATTCGCTTAGTCTGTAGGTTTGCTGCGGCAGGGGGTATTTATTGTTACAGTATCTTGCAAATACAGACATGGCAACCAATTAACCCATAAGGCCCATGTTCAATTTTTGAAAGTTTAAATTTGTTGAGGGAAAGCCCTGTTGTCCGATTTGTACCATTTCAGATCTATACCTTCCCATTGTTGGTTACTATGTCTGTACCGAATTTCGTGCTGATCGCTTCAGCCGTTCAAGAGAAGTATTTTTAAAACAAAAGCAGGAGTGTAGTATAAGAGCTTCGCTCACCCCGCTAAATAAAGGCAAGAGATACAAAAACACGCTTGGCCATAATTTTTTTGCAAGGCTGAATTGCTCCAGTCGATTCTCAAAGACAAGAAATCAAATAAATAGGAAGTAGTAAATATTACATATTTACTAAAAACTAAAATATTTCCATAAATAAGACATATTTATTCCCAATTTAAATAACATTAGATTTAACGAGTGCTTAGGTTTGCTGCTACGAGGAATAAACAGGTAAACAGTGTTTTTATACCAAACGTCAATAGTATAGGATTAAATAAATAAATTTGCCAAATTTGATCAACATATATATCCATAAACAAGTAAACTACAACAGTTTTCATGAACATGAAGTTTAAATTTACACTTTTTTGAATTTTCTCCGTAACCATTAGGCATACAACAATGCTTCAATATACTAAATTATTTCTTTTATTATGCTCTACAAAATGGTTTGGAAAGAAATTCCAAAATTTTATGTTTTTAGGGTCAAAAATGGGAAAAACCCATTTTTACCTCATAAAACCCCCCATAAACCCCCGTTCCCTTGGTCCGATTGTACTAAGTAGATGGTTATTGTATTAATTAGATTTAAATCAACTACTGTAAGCGCACGACTTGTTTGCGCGTGGCCCCTCCACCGCCTCCACGGCCAGGAGGGGCCCCCACCACAGCCCGGTGCTTGGTGATCTGCTACTAGTCGCCCTAAAAATGTTGTCTATACTACTTCTACTCCCAGCGGATGCGTAAACCCAAGGCGTAAACCAACACACCATGCCTATTGATCTTATCATTTCCCTCGCTTCACTGTGAATTGTTTGCCCGTTTCACCATGATTGCCATGATATTAATCTAAGTTAGCCTAACACTTTTTTATCCCACTCCTTAAAATCTCTCATTAATTACTCAACCGCACTACTCGATTCCACAACATGTCCAATAAACTGACAGTCGATAGAACACGATAGAGTACAACACTCTTCCTAAGTGATAAAATAAGTTAATAATAAGGTAATAAAATATTGTCATAAAATAGAGTTTCGTTTTATCAACTTAGAGATATAAAATAAATAACTGCAATCCATTAACCATTTTACAGGTTGTTTGGAAAAACCGTCCGATATCATAACGTGTTATTTAATATAGGCCTACATGATATGAAAATAAGCAAAAAGTTTCCATAATTATATGTACTAAACCTTATGGTTTTCTGTTTATAGGTATATACAGGGTGGCTGAAAAGTAACTTGCACCCCCACTTAACTTTTCAACCATTTGAGATATTGAAATCGGTTTGCGGCAACCTTCTTAGATATGAGGGGCTACAATAATTATGGTCAATTTTGAAAATTTTGCCCTTAGGGGGGTAGCGGGGGTAGGGGGTAGCTCAAAATTTTCAAATTACAAGTATAGTCGAGTTTGGTATCATTTTACAGGTCTTGACGAAACATAAACATTGACATAAAGAAAACCAAAATCACTAATAATGCAAGCATTTTTGAAATAGTTATTTGAAGTGTTTTTCTCAGGATTTTAATTTTACAAAAACAGTCTGCAGGCGACATAAACTAACAACTCGATACATTATAACCTAAACTTTACCTTCCTAATCCAACCTAACTTCAAAACACTTAATGCAGTCACCAATTCACATACAGCACGACCTACCACCCTGACATACCTAAATAACAACTACAGTATGTAATTAGTCCACCAGTGTCCATATATATCTCCATAATGTGACGAAATTACTATTATAGAAAACATTATTGACTATAGAATCACTTGAAATGTTTCTACAACGATGTTATCATGTTTAATCAACGGTGTTCTTCTTCTCATCAACCATGTTACTCTCTTCACTTGACCTTGCTTGTCGTGTGGTTGAAAATAGTCAGCTGTAGGCTTAGTTACCCACAGTTCATTCCACTTGTTAATGTTATCCATCCTACCTTGTTTATTGTAATGTTGTATGTTTTTGTTTTTACGGTGATATCTTGAGAAATATTCATCAGCGGTGAAAAATAATGGTATATTTGGATTCAGGAGGTAAAAAACAATAAAGTAAGATATCAAAATTAAAAATTTGTTTGGAGGCACCTATACGGAATAAATACCTAATAAGTTATGGGAGTAAGTTAGCGTACTTATCGTTATACGACTGTAGACACCAGTCGGTAGACTTGATCAATTAGAATTGTCAAATAACTTAATACTTATTAATATTTTATCCCAATGCCTAGCCTACTTCTGGGATATCTAGGCCAACATAGGTCTACCAATATTAGGCCCTACCTTTTATATGCCTAGCCTTTGATTGGTAAAGGTAAAGTAGGCTAACATCAGGCTAGGCTTAAGTCTTTTACGATTCCTATATTGAATCTTCTAATGTGTATTTCTAATAAACATCTTATTATTGACCAGCACCTATATTTTTGATTGCTTATAACCTCTTTGGCTCTGTTAAACTCGTTTACCTTTCTCTTTACGAAGTTGATCCCATCCATTTCGATTCCGGCTAATATGAGGTAAGTTACTACCGTTACCGTTCCTAATACTTTTTTTTGTCCTAGGACGCTAGACACGAGCCTGGGATTGTTTTTCACATTACTTCAGGCTAGACCTAGGGGTTGCGGCATTATCACTTGTATAAAATCCATTGGTGACTTGGCAGGGATTGAACCCGGGACCTCAGGGACTGAAGTCCCGCACTCTAACCACTACTCCAGCTCGCTCCCTGTTCCTAATACAGTACTAGGATATCTTTTTGTGCAACCTGTTCCCAAACAGCTATAACAGTTACTAGATTAGGAACGTAATGTGACGTCATTTGGAGCAGACGTGCGTGGTAGCGGCGCACGTCTGACGTGCGAATAGCCACTGCCAAAAGAAAATGTCTTTTTTTCTTCTAGTTACTAGGGTACAATAACTGTTAACCATTATTGACATATTTTATAGAAATGTTGCTTTGTATTCAAGTTCACAAGAACCAAAATCTATTTTATAGTGAATTTAATTTTATTATTATTTTTTCCATTTACCTGTTTAAGATAGTACAGAAAATAACTATGAAGAAGATTTCCTCCCATCTGGCAGTGAAAAAGCCAGCAAAGGTACAAACATATCTTGTTCTGGCAGTGGAAGTGAAATAGAGGAAGAAATGTCTGTTGGGGTGAGTGCATGGTTGTTTAAATAATGGATTTTATTCCCAAAAAACATAAACCACCAAACAACAGGTAGTCCTAGTCCTAAAGCAGCTATTAACCCATGAAACAACTCATCAATTGAGCACTAGTTTTTATTGTAAAACCATACTTTAGTCAACATAATAGTATAATCACAACAATATATCTAGTAAAAATAATTCTGGTGGACACGCAAGTTAAAAATAAATCAAAATGGGAATTTGGAACACTTTTTTTACCAAAACGTGTTCAGGACACTTAATTATAAAATTATGGGAATTTGGAAACGTAAAAATATAATTATCATGTTCAGTTTTCTCTAGAAACAAATGCAAATTATTTAATACTTTCTTTTTCCGTCTAGAAAACGCATTACTTTTAAACAGTTTTGTACTTCTCTTTTTTTATCGCCTTTATACCACTCCTTTAATACTATTTTAGAGGTTAAATACCTTTTTGTTGCCAACGTAATCCCTTGGTCGCCTGGATAGTGACCGGTTTTGACACTCAAGGTTTCATTGTCAAGCCTTAAGACGTGTTGTCGCTCCTAGGAGGTCGTCAGGAAGTCTTCAAAACACAAACACGAGACACGAACATACATTTTCAGAAATCACGAATAACACAGTTTGGCCCATACAACAACAATAATGATCACAGTGCAGCTGCGGAATCAGGGTGTAGGTTAAAGGCCTATTTTGCTTGGAGCGATTGCAGCGATAATTGTGTGGCGATAGTAGCCAGGCACAGTTCTGACGGAGTTTGCGTTGTCCTGTTTTGCTTGGAGACTATCACAAGAGTCGCTAGCTACAGTCGCGAAAGACTGCCCCAGGTACCAGTCTGAGCGATAATCACGCCACGACTGGTGCGATTACAGGGTGTCCCACGAGAGGTGTCTCAAATTGATTAAGGAAAAACGGCTTAACCTACAAGGATTAAATAAAATTATTTTCCACTAAATCGACCCCAAGGAATAATCATTACATTATGTAAAAATATTTTAAACTTTTTTCATTAACACAGGGTGTGCCAAAAACTGAGGGTCACTAGTTCGAATCTCGGAATTTTCAAGTCTAAACATAATATGTCATGTGATAAACCATTTTTTAAAGGTATTTAATAGGCGTGTGGAGGCAGTTTTTTTTTTTGGACAAAATCAATAGGCCTATTTTGTTAATACTAGGTATGTGTTTCCTATACCAATGCACTTAGCCCTTCTCCGATTGAATTTTCTTACTCGTTATGAAATTAGCTTTACTGTGATATGCTACACATAAAGTTTTTTTTTAAATAATAAAAATTCCCAAAAATGTCATTTTAGACAATTTTAAAATGCCCATTTTTCTTAATTTTTAAATAGCAACATATGTCAAGTGGCACATCATTTTATAGGTTTTTCAATTCTTAACAACGTTGTAATCTACACTTACTGCAGCATATCTATTCGAAAAAAACTCAGAAAACTTTGCATTATTGTTGCGCAAATGGTTGTGTATTAATTTTTTTAGATATCACTCGTCTATTCGAGATTCAAATATAGAATGTTTGACTGTTCTTGGAACAGTAACTTTGAGTAGAGCCTCCTCTTCTAACTCCTCACTGAGGAGATATTTTAATACCCCCGCCGCAGCAAACCTGCAGACTAAGCGAATTTCCATTTGACTGATTTGATTTGTTACACTGAAATGTCTACTTACAAATATAACATTTATTCCCGATTTAAATAGAATTAGTTTAACAAGTACTTAGGTTTGCTGCATCAGAGAGGGTAAAAATGTTTTTTTTTTGTAAAATGTTAATAGTTAGTAAGAAATAAAAACATTTTCCAAATTTGATCAAAATATGTTCATAAACAAGCAAACTACAACAGTTTACTTATTCTCCATAAGAATAACATGGGAATTTTCAATTTACAATTTTTTGGAATTTTCTCCGTAACTATTAGGCGCATAATAACGCTTCAAAATACTAAATTATTTGTTTTTTTAAGCTCTACAAAATGGTTTGGAAAGAAATTGCTAAATTTTATGTTTTTTGGGTCAAAAATGGGAAAAACCTATTTTTACCCCATAAAACCCCCCGTAAACCCCCGTTCCCATGGTCCGATCATGCTGGATCGCGAACTCGTTCGAATAAACGTAGGTTTACACGTTTATACCAAATTTCATCAAAATCGGATCATTTTTGCTCGAGTTATCGTGCTAACGGACACATATATATATATATATATAAATATATATATATATATGAATTTGAACGGATGGTGTTTTTGGCCTCTAGGGACCTCAAAACGAAAAAAAAAATCGGTCCCGCGTCCAGGTCTTACCATGAGTACTACGGTAATAGCTTATTCCCTATATGGGAAATTCGCTAAAAGGTTGCAACACACACTCATGACTACACTATTGTGAGCGCTGGTGTTCAAGTAAACTATGAAAAATCGTGCGGCAGCCAAAAACCAATCGCTCTAAGCAAAACAGCGATAGTAGCTGAGCAATAATCGCTGCGCGACTATTGCTACCGTCGCTCCAAACAAAATAGGCCTTTAGACTGACCATTGTTCTTCCCCTCCCCTCCTACCCATCGCATTGTTATCAGCTCCATTGTCATCTGATAATCTTTCTATGAATGAGGCTGCTTCGTAAATTATGTCTGACTCAACGACATGTTTTTGTTGAGAATGTGTTGGGGGGATTTCCAGGGCCGGATTTCCCAATAGGCCCGGGCCTATGAGCGCAAGTCCCCAGGGGGCGCACTGTTAAGGGGGGAAATCTAGAATTAAAAATTAATAGCCAAAACCTAACATATTTTGCGAATTGATTTTGAAAAAAATCTGGTTGATAAAGCATTCTAATTTTGAAGATTATTAGAAGAAATAATTGTTTGGTTAAGTTAAACTATTTTCAACATTAGGCCTACACATCAACTTTGTTACAACATTGGTCTTAAACAAGGTAGAAGGCTGGAGGGGTGTTTTCGAGCGGTACACATCGTGTTACCACTGCCACTATGCCGGCTCAAAGCTACTGCTCGGCAGTGATTAGAGCCAATTAATAGGGAAGCATGCACATGTCAATGTTATTGCCAAGACACTGTTACCACCCTCACTTCACAAAACAAAAGTTATTAACCAATCTTTTGTTTTGCTAGCTATACCTAACTGAACCATAACCTCAAATTCTTTTTTGCCTAGCTTTAACACGTTGCCTACCGGCCGTCACACTCAGTTGTATGAGGGGCGTTGTGAGACCTGGTAGTGAAGGGGTTAACACGTTGCCTACCGGCCGTCACACTCAGTTGTATGAGGGGCGTTGTGAGACCTGGTAGTGAAGGGGTTAACACGTTGCCTACCGGCCCTCACACTCAGTTGTATGAGGGGCGTTGTGAGACCTGGTAGTGAAGGGGTTAACACGTTGCCTACCGGCCCTCACACTCAGTTGTATGAGAGGAGTTGTGAGACCTGGTAGTGAAGGGGTTAACACGTTGCCTACCGGCCGTCACACTCAGTTGTATGAGGGGCGTTGTGAGACCTGGTAGTGAAGGGGTTAACACGTTGCCTACCGGCCGTCACACTCAGTTGTATGAGGGGCGTTGTGAGACCTGGTAGTGAAGGGGTTAACACGTTGCCTACCGGCCCTCACACTCAGTTGTATGAGAGGCGATGTGAGACCTGGTAGTGAAGGGGTTAACACGTTGCCTACCGGCCCTCACACTCAGTTGTATGAGAGGCGTTGTGAGACCTGGTAGTGAAGGGGTTAACACGTTGCCTACCGGCTGTCACACTCAGTTGTATGAGGGGCGTTGTGAGACCTGGTAGTGAAGGGGTTAACACGTTGCCTACCGGCCCTCACACTCAGTTGTATGAGAGGCGTTGTGAGACCTGGTAGTGAAGGGGTTAACACGTTGCCTACCGGCCCTCACACTCAGTTGTATGAGGGGCGTTGTGAGACCTGGTAGTGAAGGGGTTAACACGTTGCCTACCGGCCCTCACACTCAGTTGTATGAGAGGCGTTGTGAGACCTGGTAGTGAAGGGGTTAACACGTTGCCTACCGGCCCTCACACTCAGTTGTATGAGAGGCGTTGTGAGACCTGGTAGTGAAGGGGTTAACACGTTGCCTACCGGCCCTCACACTCAGTTGTATGAGAGGCGTTGTGAGACCTGGTAGTGAAGGGGTTAACACGTTGCCTACCGGCCCTCACACTCAGTTGTATGAGAGGCGTTGTGAGACCTGGTAGTGAAGGGGTTAACACGTTGCCTACCGGCCCTCACACTCAGTTGTATGAGAGGCGTTGTGAGACCTGGTAGTGAAGGGGTTAACACGTTGCCTACCGGCCCTCACACTCAGTCGTATGAGAGGCGTTGTGAGACCTGGTAGTGAAGGGGTTAACACGTTGCCTACCGGCCGTCACACTCAGTTGTATGAGGGGCGTTGTGAGACCTGGTAGTGAAGGGGTTAACACGTTGCCTACCGGCCCTCACACTCAGTTGTATGAGGGGCGTTGTGAGACCTGGTAGTGAAGGGGTTAACACGTTGCCTACCGGCCCTCACACTCAGTTGTATGAGAGGCGTTGTGAGACCTGGTAGTGAAGGGGTTAACATGTTGCCTACCGGCCGTCACACTCAGTTATATGAGGGGCGTTGTGAGACCTGGTAGTGAAGGGGTTAACACGTTGCCTACCGGCCGTCACACTCAGTTGTATGAGAGGCGTTGTGAGACCTGGTAGTGAAGAGGTTAACACGTTGCCTACCGGCCCTCACACTCAGTTGTATGAGAGGCGTTGTGAGACCTGGTAGTGAAGGGGTTAACACGTTGCCTACCGGCCCTCACACTCAGTTGTATGAGAGGCGTTGTGAGACCTGGTAGTGAAGGGGTTAACACGTTGCCTACCGGCCGTCACACTCAGTTGTATGAGGGGCGTTGTGAGACCTGGTAGTGAAGGGGTTAACACGTTGCCTACCGGCCCTCACACTCAGTTGTATGAGAGGC